TTCCTACAAAGACGACATTTATCTCCACCAAATCTCGGAAATAATACCAACTAATTAGAGGACATGTCGTCTTTCTTTTTTCATTTGACACATATGACGTTGTGCGCAGTTGGTCGATTTTTCTGTTGCCATCTATTGTACTTGACAACCTATTTGGATAATACATATTTACACACGAGAAAGTCCCCTTCAATAAGTAAAAGGTTTGCAGGTACTGGTACACATAGATCTAGCCACCTTTGAAATTTTAAGATAGTTGAATAATAGACAAAAACCCGATGAAAACATACGTAAGGGGCGTCTAAATTATTTCCTGGTAACCCACTTCCATTCATAAAGTGAGGGTCCGATTTAAGAGGACCCTGTAATAAACCTTTATCTGATTAAGAATTGATAAGATATCCTTAATTTTCTTGCTCAAGATTGATTTTTATACAAGTTGTGGTTTTTCTAGAAAAAGGATTTTGTTGAATGTAATACAATGTATACATTTTTTTAAGTGAAAAAAGAACCATTTTTACATTGTTACCCCGATAGAGATTTAAAGGGGGTTACTTCTACAGAGGTTTAAACAGAGTTACTCTGGTTGAGGTTTAAAGGGGTTACTCTGATTGACGTTTAAACGGAGTTACTCCAATAGAGGTTTAAAGGGGTTTATCGGATTGAGGTTTAAACAGAGTTACTCTGATTGAGGTTTAAAAAGAGGTTACTTCGAATGAGGTTTAAACGGAGTTAATCAGACTGAGGTTTAAAGGGGTTTACTCTGATTGAGGTTTAAACGGAGTTACTCTGATTGAGGTTTAAAAGGGGTTTACTCTGATTGAGGTTTAAACAGAGTTACTCTGATTGAGGTTTAAACAGAGTTACTCCAATAGAGGTTTAAAGGGGGTTACTCGGATAGAGGTTTAAACAGAGTTACTTTGATTGAGGTTTAAAAAGAGGTTACTTCGATTGAGGTTCAAACGGAGTTAATCAGACTAAGGTTTAAAGGGGGTTAATCCGATTGAGGTTAGGTTTAAACAGAGTTACTCCGATTGAGGTCCAAAGGGGGTTACTCTGATTGAGGTTTAAACGGAGTTAATCAGATTGAGGTTTAAAGGGGTTTACTCCGATTGGGGTTTGAAAGGAGTTACTCTTATAGAGGTTTAAATATATCAAAAATATTTCTATTTCGCGATCATTTTCGAAAAGAAAAAATTGATCATCAATGCAACTTGGTAATCCATCTTTTTGTCAGGCCCGAACAGGGGTAAGTGTCCCCCCCTTTTCCCCGGAACAGGGGGGGGGGAAACGTACGTAAAAAAAATACGTATTTTGATATTAAGTTAAATATCAATGTTTTTATAGTTTTGATTTATAAACCTTAATATTTTCTGACAATTTCAGGTCTATACTAATTCTTCCCTGTGCCACCGTATCAATGCACTTTGTGAATTGAGACCCCCCCCCCCTTTCTAAAATCCTAGCTACGGGCCTGCTTTTTTTCATCAGTACTGTAGTTAAAATAATCTTAATGCTTGTTTTTCAGTTATTCAAATTGTAGATTTTGAACCCTAATCTTTAAATGACATTTTTATTATTTCTAATATAATAGATTAAATTTAACTAACAAAATTTATTCTATAGTTAATGGCATTGACAAAAAATAAAAAGATATATAGATCATAAAAATAAAAATAAAAACATATAATGTATACCTACATTGATATAGATACAGCTAGAAAGAAAAATGGTTGGATAGATGATGAATGGTATAGATAAATAGATAG